TGGTTGTCCCTTACTTGGACTTAGGTGTTGTCCCAAGAATCCAGTGTCAGATGTTATCGCCAGGGGTGACTGTACTTCCTGCGAAGATAGTAACATGACATTCTGAACATGCTTGGCCACCTTAATGTTGCTCCCTTGTGACCTAAGTTGCATCTGATCCAGGGTAAGATTGAGCAGCGAGAGGATCAGAGTGGACCACCAAAACTTCCAAGCTTTTGACATCTTCTCTCACTAGGGGTATGAGAGCATGAATTTTGACAGGTCGTCCAAATGTTTCTGCTTTGCCTTGACCAACTCCAAAGATGGGGTTTTCCGGGCCAACTGAGCCAACTAAAATGTGCTCAGTGCCCGAAACAAGTTGCTTGTATGTCTCATTGGTAAATGTGTCAACAGGCATCCCCATCGATCGAACTTTCTCCTCGCCCATGTGATTGTGTCGTTCGGCTGGTGGTATCGTCGGTAGTATCCTGGATATCACAAATAGCACGTTCACTTTTGGTGACTTACTTTGCACTGAGAGAGGCCAGATCTCTATGATCTTAGTGCTAGACCCTTGTAGTTGTTGCCTCAAAGAGTAGACAAAGGCATGAAGAGCTAACTGCCTTGGAGGCAGAGTATGCTGGTAAAGTCACGGCCGGAATCAGAGCCAGGTGCGTCTCGGTAATGATTAAACTTGTCGGGGTTGCTTTCTCTTGAGGTCTCGGAAGAGATTTGACCGAAATGTCGACAGCGCTTGAGAAGTTGACGTTTGTATCCTCTCGAAAGGTATCAAGATCAACACTGCTGGATTCCGACAACTTGATCTGACTTTGGATTCCTGAGTTGATGAACACATAATATAGATCGGGAACTTTATTAACAACCTTGTTCAAGTGTTAGTAGAGTAGGTCGCTTATGCTTGCCGTATGGAGGCATCAAGTCCACCCAAAGGCTTGGTACGCTTCGGGTCAAGTACCCTATTCCGTGGTGGGGGAGGGGGAAGGGGCGGGGGGATTGTGGGCAGCAAATTTCTGCACCTGTGACTGACCTCTTCACAAAATCATCGAGACCTGCCCTGTCCGTGATGCAGAACCGGATAGAAGCTGCCTTAGTTGAGCCGTGCTTCTTGACAAATGCAACTAGTCGTTCCTGGCGCCGACCGACAGCGATGACCTTGACACCATTTTCGACAAGCCCATCCGCCATCGCTGCTCCGATGCCCGATGTGACACCTAATAGAGGCACTTGATTATATCGGAATGCCATGTTGGGCAGAGAGTTGAGTTGTTGGATATCTTCGAATGGTGAAACCCGTCTCTAAGATGTGAGGAGATGTTTACTGTGTGAAGTGTAGCTGAAGCGCGGTTGTTAACAAGTCCTAATGCCTTGTAATGTCAAGCTCAAACTTTAGGATTCGACCTCGCCGATGCCGATTGAAACGTTGAGATTGATATTCAAGAATCTTGAGACACCTTACTCCCGGCGCTAAGGCGTGGTTTTGTGGCTTCGAACTTAGACTGTTGGCGGCAGGCGGATTCAATCATCGGGATTACAGAGATGTATTGTACCTAGAGCCGAGCGGCTAACCTTTTTCTAACGTCTGGTATGTCTGAGACACGCATCAACACCAATGCTGCTTGCCGTGACCTGGGCTTACAACGGGAAGAACGACGTCAAAGGAACCAGCAAACTACCAACCATGTCGAATCTATGTGGCTTCCATTTGCTGGCAGCTGGGTATCTGAAGTTTATGTCTATTATCTTGAGAAATCTATATGTCTAGGGGGGTATATCTGCACCCGTAAAATCGGGGATGAACCATCTCGCGTTATCATAGTGCAAGCACTCGTTCTATTTCTCGGCAACAATGTACTCTGTGCAAAGGAGCTCGGATCTCAAATCCATCACATCAGCGATAGTCTTGTTGGGGATGATCTCAGCCATCCACAAAACGTGGTTCAGGGTGGTATCGTTGCCCGCGTCACCGTCGTAGTCGAGGTAGGCCGCAGAAGGCGTGAGCCAGCGGTTCTGCTCCATGATGAAAGTAGGAGGGATGAGCTGACCGCTCATATCAGTGAGGCGCGAGGAGAGGTTCGCGAGTTGCCAGTCCCACCAAAGGCGATCCAAGTTGGCATGGTGCAGGAAGAAGATCGGGTCACCGGGGCTGGCGTTCTGATTCTCCATCTGATACAGGAGTTAGAAACTCTGGCAAAGATTGGAATGATAATGTTACTTACGGTGCCGCCAGTAGCAAGGTGACCACAAGAGTGAGGAGAGTCAACGTAGCAGAAGTTAGCCTCGTTGTAAGTCTCCTTCACGTAGCACTCGTCGACATAGGACTGGTTGGCGAAAGTGAATGCAGTCTGGTTAAACTCGCGAGAGAGACAGTACTCGTCATAGTAATCGACACCGTAGACTTGGTCCATGCGAAGCGTCGTGTTGGCGAAAGGACCGTCAATGACGCAGTTGGTGCCTTGGGTGGTGTTGACACCGTTAGTTCCAAAGCTGAACTCGTCAGAGCCCCAAACAGAGGCCTTCTCGACGGTTCCAAACACCTCGAGATCGCGCTGCTCGTCCCAGTAAGGCAGGGCACCAGTGTATCCGCACTCCTCTTGGAGAAGAATTTCGTGGAGACGGAGGAAGAGGCGGTGCCAGGGAAGGAAGGCTCTGAAAGTGGAATTAGAAAAATGGGTTGAAGTTGACTTTTCGGGAAGCTTACCCAACTCCGTGAATGAAGTTCGATTGTTCGACGTGGCAGCTTTGAAGTTCATCCCATCTTGTCTTCGCACCCTTGATGCCCGTCTTGGCGGGTGATTCGAACAAGCATTTGACGGCCTGGAGGTAGTCGGATTTCTCCTGGTTCTCCAGAGTGTGCCTGATTGTTCATGTTAATATCTTCATGGAAGAAGCGTTTGCAATATTCGGGTGGTGACTGACCATGCCTTTCTCTGGTTCATGGAAGTGCAAGTAGAGTTAGAGAAAGTTCCATTGTGACCGTTGTGACCATGGGTGGGAAAGACAGGCGATGCGCTAGCGAAGGCAATGGCCGAGGCCAGGCTGAAAAGAGTGGACGACTTCATGTCGATCAGTGAGAGACAGGCAATTCTAGAAACGATCTGCAAAAAAAAAGTGACAAGCAATTTGGTGAAGAGCAAAACCTATTGTTCTTATGCTTTGGAGAAAAGGGAGACAGGTTTCACTTATACTGAAAGCGCGACTATGCCAAGACCTCGGGATCTCCCTAGACTCCTCCTCAGATAGGAGCCCAAGGACCCGGAGTGGAAATTTTCAAATTCAAGATTGTTCAAGCTCCGAAGAACAAATATCCACCAGCTACGCAAAAAGTTGCGACCGCCCTACGAAAGAAGCCGCGCATGCGGCTTGGGGATCCGCTGACCCCATCGCAAACTTGGCGATGCTTGAGATAAAGATTTGCCCCCCGGCGTCTATTCGTCTCGAGTTGCCCATTCGGTGGATGCCGGACAGGGGTGTCAATGATGCAGCGTTCATCCAAAGGTAAAAATCTTAGCATGGAAGTCGACCGAGGCCCGATTTGCCTATCCGTAATCTATGTCTTGTGGGCCATGATGGATACTCAAAAACCTACTACTTCCCTGACAGCATTCCACCTGGCATCCCACATACCGAGGGTCTGGATCCGTGGATAGAGTGGATGGCTTACTGGACGAATGAAAGTTTCAAGCAGAAAACAAGCACATGCCGACTTGCGAATTGGGACGAACATGCACAGCCGGAAGGATAAAAAGGGTCATCGGGTCCGGAATCCCACCTTCGGCTTGGGGCAGGTCCGAGACTCTATTCTAGCCGGCAACGGCGACGGCGGCCTTACCCAGCCCCCACGCGTGGCGTAGCTGACGACGAAGACAACATAGAGCCAGTTCCAGTGATAATCAAGGACAGAAAAAGCAAATTCAGAGCAAGGGAAACGGCCGTCTGACCCGGGTTGGCAACGGTGTTTATCGGAGGCCGAGTCAGTACTTGACTCGTTGTCGACAGGAAAAAAAGAAACGAGCAACGAAGCATCTAACATCGGAGGTTTCTTTTCAAAACAAAATTCCGATCCATGTCCGAGTCGCCCTTCAATTAAGAAAGTTCCATTGCAGCTCAGGAACTCATGAAATCCTTCAGATGGCCTTGGGCCAAGGACTACGCGTATCAGTGGTTGCGCTTTTGAGAACAAATTTACAATTTTCCCGAAAAACCAAGACGGTCAGTTGTTGATAAGTACCTTACATATGTTCTCAGATTACGCATGCGATAGGCTATCTTGGTCTCCGAGCCGCAAGTGACGTTATCTTCATTCGGCTCTTATTACAGTTTTTACATTGCCATGGAATGTGGTAGGGCCAGGTTATCACAGCAGTGACAAAAACTGGGAACATTGTGGAGAGTGTCGTCATAAGAGTGAAAGTACAACCAACCCAACAGCGGCTGCAACCGAATGGAACTGTTTCAACAATGCCACGTTCTCGACGTTTACTGACGAATTAGGAACTGTTCCATGGCCAACAGTTCAGTGGGAGCAAACGTCGCCGACCAAAAGTTAGCGAACCTTGTCCGATCTGGGGGCGGATCGTGCTGCACCCTTACTCAGCCGGCAAGATCTTCCAAAATTGCCAGAAATAGGAAATTGGAAGGCATCTTCTGCTTCATCTTTCGACACTTTGATTGGTCTTTTCTTTCTTGCTTACTGCGCCCTGCAAACTCAAAAGGATGGTTCGCCTGTCTATTTTGACTTCATAATGTCTGGGTCGAGCAGGACCTGTGCCAACGCCAGTCTCGTGGCTTCGCTCTTAGTGTTACTCAATTCATGATTTCACGACATCAACAAGCCAACACATTCGATTTGTCTAGTCAAACTATCGAGATTTGAATTTCAAAATTCAGTGTAAGTCTATGTAGATCTATTTTTGTGCCGTAAAGGTGCCTCCCAATGCCAGGTTTTGGTGAGTTATTGTCTAGACCAATCACACTAAGTTAAGGACAGTAACCAAGTTGTCTTAAAGTCTTTCTTCGTTAAGCAAATTTCTGATCAGTCTGAGACATGTGGGATGGTAGAAGTCTTGATACTTCTGGAACAGTTCCAACACCAACTCTTCGTCAACCGACAACAATTCCTTGAATCTGTGAATTGTCAGCACTGGTCTTGACCTGCGTTGTGGTCGAGGCAACTTACAACGGCCTCACAAACTTCATTCGGCCTGTCTGTCCCAGGACATCTTCAGTCTGCTTCAAAACACTGCGATCGCCGGCTCGGAGTGCGACACGAAGGTACCGAGTGACGATTTCGAGATTGCTAGACTTTCCCGTGCCGTACAACTTGTCAAGAAGTTTGCAATACTCGAGTGGGATTGGCTGCGGTCTTTCAATGAGAAGATCAAGGAAGACTAAAACTTGTCCCGCTGTCCAGCCCTCAATATCGCTACCAGACGGCCTGAACACGGCTTGGTCCGAGAGGCTGCCCCATTGATCTGCCAATTCGACGGCCTTCTTGTAAAGCTCAGAGCTAAACTCCGGCTTTTGGGGCGCGCCCGGTTTGTGAAACCAAGAAATCCAATCAACGCGGCTCAGTGCGGAGGTAGCAACGGCATCGGACGAGAAGAATTTGAGGACACAATCCTTGAATTGGGTTGAGTCAACCGTCGCACCGTAGAATATTCTGAAATACTTGATTGATGAACTGTTAGTTTTCAAACTGTCAGCAGCAAAATGGTAAACTTACATGTGGGACAAACTTTAGCCATTTCTCTCGTCCGACAGTCTCTTCAAGGTAGCATAGAAAGGTGTAGCCTTTCTCGTAGGAGATCTTGGACATAATATCGTCCGGCCTCTTGCCTTTGAATTCAAGCACCAGGCTAGTAAAGACACTGTCATTGCCGCCATACATCTCAATAGATTGGATAAGGTCCTGCCAGCCAACGACGGCTTGGAGCTCGACCTCATCGTCTCCTCTGATTTTGCGCACGATGTTCCTCTCAGTCCAAACAGTCCATCCCTCGTTCAGCCAAAAGTGCTCCCAGGATGCATTGGTGACAAGGTTGCCGCTGTAGCTGTGCGCGAATTCGTGTGCGACCACAGAGATATTCTCTCGGTCTCCTGAGACAACAGTGGCACTGTAAAAGTTGAAGATGGGGTTTTCCATACCGCCGAGATGAAATGATTTTGGTAACACGACTAGATTGTAAAGCGGCCACGGATACTCGAAGATGAGGTTCTAACACGTCGCAAGTTGTATCAGCTGAAGCTCTTCACCGCTTTGGCTCAACTTTCTACCTCTGCAGACTCGATGATTGCCTGTAAATCCGGCTGAAACTCCTGTTTGCAGGCTTCCAAGTCATCAGGGGCGCAGTAAACATAGCTCTTCGGTCCAATTTTCTCTCCAGCCAAATTTCTTTCAAGAGTTGTGTAAGTCATGGCATCTGCGAGGACGGTCTTCAAATGACTTACCCGCTTGCTACGGCGAAGAGATAGTTCGAGATTGGAATCCCCATCTTGAATTTGTACGTCTTCTGTTCGGTCGTGTCTGTGATTGGTGGGAAGACCAGCTCAGCCTCAGGAACGCCACTCGCTACGACAGGAAGTATCGAATGGATTGTTATGTCAAAAGTGCTTTTGATGGATGGCGTGTCCTGGCACGGGAATATGGAGCGGGCATGGACCGGTTCGCACTGAGAGACTATTGAACATCAGCTGAGGCCGACAAGTCGCAATTTAGCCCAACACTCACACATGAAGGGGTACAGTTTATCGTCCGTCTGCGAAGGGTTGAACCACTGAAGGCCTGTGGTGTTTTCGGTAGTCTCGAAGTCAATCTTGCCAGCGACTCAATTAGCCAACTCCATCGTTGATGATACAGCAGGGTCAACAAGTCAACGTACTGTGAGCTCAATGGTCTCCCCTTCATTGTATTGTCGCCCAAGTTCAATACACAATGAACTGCCATTCTCTCCATCGTCGGACTTCAATGTCCACACAGCCTTCCGTCCTGAATGGCTTACTCCTTTGATGGCGACATGACTTGTGTCTAGAACAATTTGGGCGAGACCATGAACTATTACTTGGCCAGTAATTACCGTTCGGCCAACCAATATCTTACGGTCAAAGTCAATCGTCAAGTCAAGGGCCGTATGCTGTGTCGAAAAGTCTTGAAAATTCGAGTTAGTGTTGACATCTGTGACACCGTTGGTTGGGCACATGGTGCAACTGCTAGCGAACGTCGTCCGCGCGTGGGAAGAGGAATTCGTTGCTGTTTGTCAGAAAGAGAGACTTGCATTAAGGTCTGCTATCATCATGCTTGCAAGGGAATGATTTCTTGGAATTGGATGATGCTAAGTAAGGTATTCGAAGTTGTGATTCGGGTGCGTAACTCAATCGTGCCCCGCATTCTTACCTGACCCTCGCCTGTCGTTCAATATTGCCTATTATGGCAATCCGGTGCACCCCGCGCTAGCGCGGCTACTCGCAGAGACAAGATAGCAGGAAGTGGCTCGTTCAACTTTACCAGTTGAGACCGTTGTGTAAGTAAGTCTAGTGCAGAATATAGCTCATCCTTATCTCTAGAAGCTAATTACACATTTTGTTTGCTTTGACGCCAGAAGTTCGTGACCTCTTTCAGATAAGCTCCGTAGAGCTTGATGGCGTTGATGCTGTTGAAAAGAGAGTTAGCCCCTGTGAAACTCCAGATCTTGATGCCGCGTATCGACTTACTAGTTGCTCTTATCCAGCTTCTCGTTAGTGGAATGTTGTCCATCGGTAGGCCGGCCAACAGGCATAAGGAGCACGTTCTTTTTCAAGGTCTTTTTGAAATCCAAGGCGATGGGAATGCTGGGCAAAGTTAGTGCTGGTTCATCACGCTGGGGTTCGACGTAAAGGCTAACCTTCCACCTTCACAGGTCAAAGCAGGGTCAACGCCCCACACGTCCCGTGTTGCCTGAATCGCGGCTTTATAATTCCAGTGACTCGCCTCCTCGTAAAACCAATCATTCGGATGGCACTCAATTTCGATGTCGTTCTTGCTTCCTAGACTCTCGAAACGGTCCTTGATGTGTTTTCGCACCCGCTGGTCAATGTCCTCCCACTTCATGAAGGGCACAGTACGGATGCTGAACTTTCCAACGAGCTTAGCAGGTATAGATGTGACGGCTCCGGCTCCAGGCAGGGCATTCTCTATCCTGTGCAGACTAAGAGATGGTTTCTTCCAGCTATGGGGCAGAGAATGCGATTAGCTTGCTGATCTGAGGATGGAGTGCGGGTGAACGTACCGAGCGACCAGGGCGTCAGCCTGATTGTCATGAAGGCTTCGGCCCCCGGTGCCACCGTACAAAGAGTCCTCCGAGATGTTCAACTTTTGGTAGCTTTCATACCCCTCCTTCGTGACAGCTTGAACATTGTCGTAGATTCCAGGTACCAGAATCTTGCCATTCGAATCCACCAAAGATGACATGATGTTGACCATATCGGTCATTGGCTCCGAAATCTGACCGCCGAATCCACCACTGTGGGCATCCACTTTGGCACCAGTGATGGTAACAAGGTAGAAGATAATGCCTCTGAGTCCTTGAGGGACGCTAATCTGCTCATCACTCACCCAAACAACATCCGTGATGCAGACCACATCGACGTCCTTGAAATACTTGTCTGCCTCATCTTCTAGGCCCTGCCGAAGGCCAAACGATGCGGTTTCTTCCATACCCTCAAAGCAGAAGACCAAGTTGGCCGGTACGTCTACGTCAACCTTCTGGAAAGCTTCTATCATGTTGATCCAGCCAATGAGAGGGCCCTTGTCGTCTGAGGTGCCTCTGCCGCAAATCTTGCCGTCTTCTTCGACCGTCATCACAAAGGGCTCGTGCTTCCATCCATCCTCGATAGACGCAGGCTGAACATCGTAATGGCTGTATACAAGCACTGTTGGCTTGTCGGGGTCGCTGCCATAGCGTCCCAATACCAGAGGAGGAAGGTCGAGGTCTGTGCCTTCCTGCTTGCCCAGGTCTTTGAGTGTCACATCAACACCAACGGCCTTTAGCTTGGTTGCAACCCATTCGCTCATCTGTTTCCGCATTAGATGTTGTTGTTGTCTCTATGCCTTAGTGGCGTGTGGCTTATTCGCCTAACTCACCGCAAACACATCCTTCCTGCTATCTGCATAAGCAGAGATTGAGGGAATCTTGATCGCATCTCCGAGTCCTACACGAGGTCAAAGTCATTTAAGTATGGTCCTTTCAGCCAAAGCCAAGGCCAAAAGTAACTGTCTGGACGTACTGTCGATGAAGATACTCTCAAGCTCATCAACCCTGGCTTTCAGATTAGCGAGGCGAAGGTGCAAGGGTGTCTCTCATTTTCCACGCACTTCGCATAGAAGCTAGCTAGTGCTTCATTGGTATCATTCACCGGGCGTGCCGGGGTGGGAACCATGGTTGCGATAGAGGTGACGTCCTTAGTCAGCAAAGAACTGGCTTTTCGACTACAATCAAGCTTCTTTTAGCACTATCGCCAGCTGCAATAATTGACTCTGGGCGCTAATTTTGGTGTTGAAAGAGGGGAAGTTGGGCTTTCCGAGTCGAGTCTAGTCGCACCGAGACCCACGTCACGCGAGATCGGATTACGAGTGATGCAGAGTGGGGGCCGATACAAAAGTCCACTTCATAATACTACCGAAAAGGGAAATTGAGAACGAGGTGAGCTGACTTACACCAGATTTGAAATTAACATGAGAATGGATACGACAAAGCATGAAAGGATGCGGTGAGGCCTTGCATTCTGATGCAATAAGTTTCATGCAAAGAAGTCTTTCCACCAGTTGGGGGTTTCTCTCTTCCTTGATGTTACCATTCATCTAGCCACACGCAACTTTTCCAAACATGCAGCAAAAGCGCAAGATTCTCGTCATTGGCTCGCCTCGCGAAGTCATACCTGACAAGGTATGGGCAGATTTTAGTTCACGGTATGAAATTCTGATGTACGACTACTCAAAAGTACAAGACTTCTACCACTCCATGACTACCGGTTCTTGCAAGAACATTGACGGAATTATGCGAATCGGTATCAACACCCCGCCCAACAACGAGAAGTTGGGCATGGGCTGGACTGGACGGGCTCTGTCACATCTTCCAGCAACTCTCAAGATGATTGCCAACTTCGGACACGGTTTCGACGAGGAAGATGTCCCAGGACTTAATGCCCGTGGCGTAGACTTCTTCAACACGACGGGCGGGAGCGAGGCAACAGCCGTGGTTGCGGTATATCTCATCATCTCAGTATTCCGTCAACTAAATCACTACGAGCGAATGCTCCGCGACGAGAAGTTCTGGTCAGCCTTGAGGCACTCATCTCAGAACGCAGTTGACCCCTTTGGAAAGAAGCTCGGCATTATCGGCATGGGTTCCATTGGCCAAACCGTCGCGAGACAGGCAGCTGCTCTCGGGATGGAGATTCACTGTATTGATAGGCCCAATCTTCGGAGAATCTCGGAGGCTATGAAGCATGAGAACAATTACGTCAAGGGGCTTTTGCCACCGATAATATTTCACAAGGATCTCGAGAGTCTCGTCGCTTCCATGGACTGCTTGGTTCTGGCATGCTCTTACTCCCCGACGACACATCATCTCTTATCGAAGGACATCTTCTCCAGAATGAAGAGAGGAATTCGAATTGTCAATGTGGCCAGGGGCCGTTGTATAGATGAGGAAGCGCTGTGTGATGCCATCGACAACGGCACTGTTGCAGCGGCTGGGCTTGATGTTCACTACAACGAGTGAGTTTCTGATCCTCCAGTCCACTCATACCGCTTGTGCGAAACTAACACTTGTAGACCAAACGTAAACCCAAGATTGCTTAAGCATGACTGCGTTACACTTTTACCTCATCTTGGAGGTCTAACCCACGACTCAATGAAGGTAAGGGCTTGAGCTCAAGTCACAGTACGACGTATACTTATGACCAGACAGAACCATGCGTTAATGGCCTTGAAGTCAGTAAATGACTTTTTCGCCTCTTCGGATTTGACTTGAGGAGTTTCAAGTAGGATTGAGCTTAGATGAATTTACGCCGATAAGATTAGTAGAAGAACTAGTTGAGAAACCTATGTAATATTGAGATCAACATGACATTGGATTGAATCAGCTTCATATTGATTTGTGTATGTAGCTCAGACCCGGAACACCATTGATCAGTACAAATGTGCCGATCGTAGTTGTCTAGTCCTTTCATACATCATGCACTCCCACTAATGCCTCGATAAGACCAATCAATAGGTTAATTGTCTAGGTGTTTCCCCTGAGGGTGACTGGCTGCGGCCTGTTAAAAGCACTGCCCTTCCAGCAGATTGCAGTGCCTATCAATGATACATCAATTAATTGCAAAGGCAGTATTTTGCTATGAATGTAGTGACAAGAGATTTTCTATCAACTTCAAACCCTCATTTCTTCAAGATCTAGTATTAGGCGAGAAAAAAGATGCTGCGCTTTTCCTAGCGACAACCACACCGTGGCATTTTCATTTTATCCATGACTTGCTTGCCCTAGCAAGGCAAAGGCCTGTTTCTGGATGATCTTTTACTCCGAGTCCTCGGCAACGACGTATCCCCATTCGTGCTCTACTCGGCCGTAGATAATATCCTCCAGCCAAGACTTGATGGTGTTGGAGTAGGCGGAGCGCGGTGTCTTGTGCCCCTCTTCAGTAACCATCATAGGGAAGTGAATCTCAGTATCGCCATACTTGATCACGGAAACTGGAGTGATGAACATCTGTAGACTACTCGTTAGCAAAGGAAAATTAATAAGCCAAAAAGACATATGTTAAACTTACCGCAGTGCCAGAAACAAAGGCCTCAGCCAGCCGACCATCCTCATACGCTTCCACAACCTCAGCCATGGTGAAAGGACGCTCGACAACCTCCAGCGGAGTGAGCTCAATACCAGCCGTCGATCCCCCCGTCAGCCTCTCTCTCGCAATCTCCAAAACACTCCGTCGAGTGATACCATCAAGGATAACCTCCGTATCCAACGAACTCGTCACAAGCTCAACCCCTTCACCCCCCTTCTTCCTCCACACAACAAAGAAATTACTCGCCCCAGCCTCCGTAACAATCCTCTCCTCCCCGAACAACCACAACGTCTGCGTACACCCCTGCGCCTTAGCCGCCGCATGCGAAACCATAGCAGGCCCGTAATTCGCACCCACCTTGGCGGACCCGAACCCGCCAGGCCAGGCGCGAATATGCTCAGGGCTGCTAGCGAGCAACTTAATGCCCGGGTGCGGCTGCGATGCTAGCCCTCCCCCCAAAGACTGCGGGAAGAGCGCGGCAAAGAGGAAGAAGAGGGCTTCGGGGGGCTGGTTTATGCCGAGCGCGGAGCCGCTTCCCACCATGGCGGGGCGGACGTAGAGGTTTGTGCCTGGGTCCGGGAGCCAGCGGGGGCATTCTTTGCCGAGGAAGGTGGTGATGATAGCGAGGAGGGCAGAGGGGTTGAAGGAGGGGAGGCCCACGCGGGCGTTAGACTTGAGGAGGCGGGCGCAGTTGAGGTCGGGGCGGAAGAGGCGGAGTTTGTTGTCGTAGCCTCGGTAGGCTTTCATTCCTTCCTGGTGAGGATGTTAGTTCTTGGATTAAGTGGCGGGAAGAAGGGGTTTGTATTTTAAGGTAGCTTCTCTCGCGGAGTAGTTGGACTTACGAAGGACTCTGTGGCATAGTGTAGGACGCTTGCCGTTGGCTCGAGGGCAATCTTGCCGTAAGGACTCATCACAGGCGTTCCCCAGCCAGTTTGCATAGACCATGGTACTTGGACCATGTGCGCCGTGGTGCAGTTTTGGCCCAGCCTTACTGGATCGTGGGCATCGGGAACTGGGAGTTGGTCTGCCTCGGGGACAAGAGTCTTGAGCATCTTGGAGACGTCCAACTCTGCGTACGGCTGTCCATTGTCGGGCTGTCTGCTCGTTTTCGGCAATGTCGCTGAAGATGTGGTGATAGCGCTTGGACTCATCTTGATGTCTTGATTCAACGAGAGGAACGGAGACGAAGATGGATATTCTTGAAGGTGGACGGAGCTCAAGAGTTCAAGTTACAAGCAGGAAATTCTTATTTCGTCGTTTATCTTGCACATCGAGAGCGCGCGTCTATGTTTTATAACCATAAAGTCCAAGATTAAGCGTCTTATTTCACTTGATTTCATCCTCCAGCTCGAGCTTAAGCTCAATTGCTATGATGGCAAAGCAAGATAACCTGGAAATGATGAATCTGAACCATCTGTTGGAAATACCCAATACGGCAAATAAGAACGAGCACGCTAATACGTCTCCACACCGAGCGGCTCACAATCGGAGGCCCGCCGGCCGGCGCCTGTCATCCTGTAGAAAATTTCAAACAGAAATCCTCGGCGATGGGACCTGCATGTCATCGGATACCGAGCCCACATTCCGAGATCTTCCCATATTCACACAAATTCATTATCATCATTGTCATTGGTGCGCTGGCAATCCACAGGCGCAGGCGTTCCCGATTTCCTACTACGGTATTTCTACAAAGTCAATGCTCCAGCCCCGTTTGCGCCGCGAATAAATCTCGACAGAAAACTTGTCAGGGTCTGTCTCCTCGTCCTCGCTCGGCGTGGCGTCCGTCTCAAGATCTATCAGTCGAACCTTGATGATCTCCCAGTTGTAGCGCGAGCCACGACGCGTGTATTCCTGGTCGACGTAGTTCAACACGCGGTGCGCGTGCCGCACGTTCCAGATGCCCTCCCTCTCGCGCGGGAACCCAGCAATCCAATTCTTGACCCAGTCCTTGACCTCTTGCTCCTCCGACATGTGGTAGCAATTCATCATCGCCGCGACCATACCGTGGGAGTAGGCGTTGACGGCCGCGCAGGAGGCGTAGGGTACGCCCGCTGCGAGACGGCAAACGAGGAGGACGATTTTCTTTGCTTTGGGGGGTAATTGGCGCACTGCGCCAGGTAGGTACCTCGTTTCTAAGCGGAGGAGGGACACGAGATAGTGCATGAAGGTCGTTGCAGCCTTGACGGGCTCCGGGGCATACGGGATGCTGAGGGGTCTGATCGAGATGCCGGGCCCTTCTGTGCCTTCGTTGTAAGGGTTTGCGGTGTGCTCATGTAAGGGCGGCACGTCACAGTCAGGAACGGTCTTTCGCCAGGCTTTCAACTCTTGGATTAGGCTTTCTGCTTGCTCTCGCCAACGGAGGTCGTGTTGGGGATTGCTCCTCCACTCTTCTTCTAGCTTGATGACCCGCGGTAGGATATAGAGCAGCCGGTCTGCTGAATGAGGCGAGTTTACTAGAGATCTGCTTAGAGAGTCTGAGACGTCTGGAGACGCTATGCTGTAGCGTACAGAGTATGCTCTGTCAAAGATGTCCAGAAGCGCAGCGATCCTAGAGAACGATCGGATGAGCGACTCTCCCACGGGCGAATCCTGCACGCGGTTAAGGTGTTGGGACAAGAAGGTGACCGCAGCCCGGCTATGGATGTACCACAGCTTCATCTGGCCCCTCTGTAGTTCAAAGTTGGCCAGCAGTAAAAGAGTCGCCAGCCATGAGATGGCGTTGTCTTGGTTCGGCGGACAGCCCGTAGCGATACCCTCATCGTCGAGCTGTGCCATGCGCACCGTACCGAGGGCAGTGACGAAGTGATCGAGGGCTTGCAGTGCCGCCTTGCTACCGAGCGCCTCCGTCGGCCTTGCCTGAGAGATATCCAGCGCCGCCAAGGCCAATGCAGCGTGGAAAAAGGCCTTGTCAAGATGCTCAGCCTGTAGGATATCATTCAATGACAAGATTGAGAGGGTGCCGTATGGCGAGGTATCCGTGAAATGGTGATAAAACACCATGTCCTCGGCAAACTTTGCGCTCTCCAACAAGCCGACTGGAATCGTTGGCACTGAAGTCAATTGCCGATTCGCCTGTTCTGACTGTCTTTGTCGCAGCAAAGGCGAGCCAATACGTGGGTAGACCGGCGTGGGACTCGGCATGGCTACGCCCTGATACGACGTGTTCAGCTCATCATCCGTATTGCCATCTTCTTGTCCAGCGAGAATGGAGTCAGCTTGCAGAGTCGTGTCGTCAAATGGCGTGTAGAACGAGGACGATTCTGTTTGATGCCCACTGGTAGGAACCAGTGAGTCCTGGTGGATGCCTCCAGATATCAGGGCGAGTGACGTGGCGGCCTCATAACGAGATAATTCTTGTGAATCGTCAAAAGTTTGATGGCTTTCGTCGGCCGAATGGAAAGTTTCATCTCCCGGTGTCACAACACACTGGCTAGCTTGGTGCGACTGCAATGTCGGCTCTACACTGCCTGGGGCGTTCGACGAAGGCGATGGCTCACTCGGAATTGTGGTTTGTGCCTTTTCTTTGCGTTTTCTCCCATGTTTTCGCTTCAGCAGATCTGTCTGATCTCTGAACTTGATCGGTGTTGCATAACCACCGCACTCAAGACTGAGTCTTGTACACTAGATGGAGCCAGAGTCAGAGCCAAACCTGAAAAGACTGGCGAAATGTGAACTTGCGTTGTTACAATGGGGCTTGTTTTCATCGCATTTCAGTCTGCGGGAGCGACAGGTTACGCAGCCTGTGCGATCGCGAGTCGTAACATTGCGCTTCCGGATGCCGTGATCAACCATAGACACAAGGCATATGAGTCAAGTGCGAGCTACCTTAATAGACAATAGCCTCTTATCTGATACGATGCTCGCTATGTCGCTGACAATGAGGGGTGACAACAAAAGATGCGGATAGGGAGAAGTTGGATGGGGGCAAGTGTCGTTTAAGATTGCATTTTCAGGGTGCTTGGGTCCCCGCAGCAAAGTCGAGTCAGGCGACTTCCCGCTAAATCGGACGCCCTCGTCACTCTGCACACCTCTGTACGGGACCGTCATCGGTGCTGACAGACCGGGTGGTTGTTGGTTTACTTGGATCTCGAGAAGAGATGCCATAATGTCCGTCAAGGAGAATTGAAGATGATGAGGCCAAAAGCCTAGGAAAAGTGTCAATTGATCCGGATGATTGGCCAAATTGTTCCAACGATTGCTCGAATGGGGATCTGGAAGCAGCATCAGTTCTAGACCCCTGAACACTTGCCCAGTTTAACCAGCCCGGTCGTTGGACTTGGTCACCCAAGGCCCTCTTATTGACGAAACTAAAGGCATACGTTCTTCATTCTCGCTGTTGGCCGTTTCTCGATATCATCGACTGCACTGATGGAGTGCTCCTCATGAATTAGATGATTCCTCTTCCTTTCTGGGAATCAAGGGGATTCCGGAGGTAAGTAGCAGTGGCGTTGGATTCTCGAAGCCATGTTTGTTCCATCAGACAAAGACGCATTATGGGATAGAAGAGAGAACCTTGGAAAAGAAAAAGAAAAAAGAGAACAGTCTCCTAGTCGAAACAGGAAGAGAGACCCGTTATCTGTCGAATATTCAAGCATCACTGGATGCCCACCCGCCGATACAATCGCATGCCCGAATAAGCATGATGACAGATGAACGCAATTTCATTCGATGAAAAAAGACGGACAGGGGGAAGGCAAAGCTTCTACTCGTGAACCCCGAGATCGACGCAGTCCACAGTGTCGGCGTCGGAGTCTCGCCTGAAATCGCGGCGCGGGAGCAGCCGCACATCGGGACGAACGGCATCGCGGAGCTTATCGTGGGCAGAAAAGGTGGGCAAGGAGTTCGGGATCCAGAAAGTGTTAGTGAGCGCAAATGTCGTCAAGGGCAGGGCAGAAAAAAAACTTCTTCTCAGCTGAAGTGCCCCGTCCCAAGTGCCGAAAACGAGCGATGGAATTGGCGCGACCTGAGTATTGTTGGTTCTGGTTCCCGAGAGGTCCGGCGGGCATTCCGTCACTGCCCTCAGTTTTGGTGCGCGGCTGCCGTGTTTGGGGAGATAAGGGGACATCGACGTCATTGCGCGCTCACTGATTGATGACTCAGCCCCACACCTCGGCTCCACAGCACCCCTGCCATGGCAATTGGGAGCTGGCAGGAGCTATGGCAGCAATGACGACGGACAAGAGAGCAAGAGCACCTTCCTGCCGTTTATTATTCCACGGCCAGCCACATTCCTAGCTGTTTTTCTGTACTCCTTCAGTTGCAGCATAATTTCTTGTGAGGTTCTTTAGGAATATCGTCAGAAAATCTCCACTCCAAAACGAAAATGGCATCAAAAACAACACAATCGGAACTCCCGACCTTCACACCAGTCGACTATGGAAAGTTCTTTGGCGCAGGCGCCCTCGCGGCGACCCTCACCCACGGTGTAAGCCAGCCACAATTCTCTTGGGAACATCGCGCGCGCCCGACCACAAATGCTCACACTCACCACAGGCCGCGACACCAATCGACGTCGTCAAGACGCGAATCCAAGTCGACGATGCAATGAAGGGCCTCAACATGGTCAAAGCAGGCCGCACAATCGTCGCAAAAGAAGGCGCCTCAGCCCTCCTCACCGGCTTCGGCCCCACCGCCGTCGGCTACCTCGTTCAGGGCGGTGGTAAATTCGCCGGCTACGAGTTCTTCAAGAAACAGTTCATCACCCTCGCCGGCGGTCCCGACAAGGCCGTCGACAAGCGCACCGCAATCTACCTCGGCGCCTCCGCCACCGCCGAATTCTTTGCCGATATCCTGCTGTGCCCCCTCGAGGCGACGCGCATCCGTCTCGTTTCCCAGCGTGGGTTCGCGACGGGGCTGGGGTCCGGGTTCATGCGCCTTGCGCGCGAGGAAGGGTTTAAGGGGTTCTATTCTGGCTTTGTGCCGCTGCTGTTCAAGCAGGTGCCCTACGCCGTCGGCCAATTCTCCGTGCATGAGGCTGCTGTCGAGGTGATTTACCGGACCATGGGACCCGAGAGGAAAGCCAAGATGACGCAGCTGCAGTCTACTGGCGTGGAGCTTGCGTCTGGTGTAGTTGCTGGTGTCGCGGCCGCTGTGCTCTCTCACCCCGCCGACACGCTGCTCTCTGCCATCAACAAGGGTGCAGGTGACAAGAACCAAGGCGCCACGAGCCGCATGTTCCAACTCGCCAAGGAGTTTGGCCCCAAGAGACTGCTCCTCACTGGCCTAGGCCCCCGTATCGTCATGACGTGCGGTCTAGTTGCTGGTCAATTCGTCATTTACGCACAGTGCAAGACGTTGGTTGGCGCGCCTGCGGGCATTGAGATTCACAAGGAGGAGTCTTTGTAGAAAAAAGAGACGCAGAAAGATCTTAAGCGTCGAGAGATAGACAGACTTTTGGTATTGGCTGGCGTTTGGGTGCATTGGTTCTGGCCGGTTAGAGCGGGTAGATGAGCGATTGCTTGAATCTTGCTACCTATTAATCACATTTCATTTGTTGAAGCTCCTTCAATGCATCTCCTGTTCGTCTGCCCTGGTTAACAGTGACCGTCGGCTAGAGACTCACAACGCAACCGACGGACTTCCCTTGGCAAACCTTTAGAAGCTTTGCTACACACCGCCGATCATGGACCACAAGTCTCGCGTGTTTCGTATACTAAAGTTGTGATTGTATCCACGGGATGCGCGGATAGCACGGATTGCTTTCACATCACTTCTTCTGCAGTACCAAGGATGATGACTCGAGGAAGAGCGACTACGTATTGGTTGGATCGACAAGGTATGCCGTGGACCCTTCTTTCCTCACTCTAATTATTGCTTACAACATACATAGGGTCTGAGGCTATCGCGATCCCCAAGCTTGGGAGTAAAACAAAGGAAACATCATGTCTACCAAGTCAACACAGAGACTCTCCTCAAGTGAGTTTCCTCATGGGGCAACAGGCACCAATTACATAACGAATAACTTACATGTATGCTTCAATAAAGCTAATATCGCCCTTCAATTTCATCACGTGCAACTGGATGACCCCGATAATCTGGGGAACCTTACATATGTATTAACGTACATTTATCTGGAGAATAGATCGGAAGCGCCAAATCTGTAAATAAGTTTTGATTTCCAGGTAATATCCCACTTATCCGGCCAACTACAGCTCACTACCAAAACGTTGAATATGTGGCCGCCATTCAACGCTCATGCAAGGTAATTTAAAGTCTCTGGCTTACCTTGATAGTTGCCACGAACCGGGACCATTTCTCATTCTCTACCTACCTCAACGGTCTTTGAGCCGGGCAATAAGACCGGGCCAAAATCTCCAACCTGCAACGTCTTCCTCTCTGCTTTCTTTTTCCTGGTTCCTCCACGGTTCCTCCACACGCTTCATACATGAGCACAACATCACAACTTAGGTAAACAAACGGTGGGCCACAAGAACAACAAAGATGTTGGCCAAACTCCTCTCCCTGCTGGCCATCAGCACAACCCTAGCATCCGCCGCCTCCTACCAACTCCGCACCTTTGCTCCCTCCGAACCAAAAGTCCACGATCAGCTAGTCAACGTCGAAGAAGAACGCTTCTGGATCGGCCTCGAGAGACCGACAACCTGGTGCCCAGATTTTAGCGGAGGAAGCTGTCCACCAGGCAACACTACCGTCGTAGACGGCGTCTTTGGCAGGATGAAGGTTCGTTTTCTCCGCCTCGCTGGATTGCCGCTCCCCTTCCCTGTCCTGTGCTGTTTCTCTTCAGTGACCTCAACTCGACTGACACTCTCTCCCCTCACAGTCCATGATGTCCCCAGGCCAACTCGTCTACCTCGACCCCTTTGGCGTAATAAGCTACACCGCAGGCGATGCCCTGACATGGAACACGATGCCGCACGGCTCCAACTTCAACTGCTTCGAGGCCGTCGAGATCTGGGCCCCGGCGGACGCGACCAAAAAGCTGCGGCTCGTCAAATTCATCAACCTCGGCGACCCGGCCGCGTCGGCAAGGCCGTTCTTCTACTCGTGTCCGATTGAGGGCAAGAAGCATTCGTTTGTGAGGGTGCGGTGGACGTCGCAACATGGGCATCGGGAGTGGGGTGTTGATTGGGATAGTCAATGTACGGCTATGGAGGGGTTGATTCTTGTGGAGAGTAAGGATG